GAACTCAGGTGATATTGGTTCAAAAACCTTAGACTTAAGTGCGAACCAAATCAGTGCTGTGGTCTCAGTGACTATTTTAGAGATGGTTTGCTTTCCAATCCGAAATAAATATGAAAGTGAGACATGGCTGTCACCAGAAGCTAGGTACCTGAAAAAATAATTCAAATAATGTAGGTACCTGAACAAATAATTAAAACAATGTTTCGCACAACAAACAAGCAAAAAAACAAGGTTCACAATATGAATCAGTACCTCAGGGTTACTGCTAGTCGTTCCCCGGCTGAAATACTCTCCCGATTGGACTTCTTGGTAATGACTGGTGACACTTCCTCCAACAGCCAGTCAAACGAGTCTGGAGTCATCCTTAGGAAGTTGAAGTACTCGTCCGGGTCATGCTCCCTCAGCAAAGGTATTAGGGAGTACCACGCACCAAATATTTTTCTCTCTTTAAGCATTGGGCGTACATGCCACCTTCTTTCCTTCAATGCATTGTACATCAGCAGTTCAAGCCGGCGTTGGTTTCTCTGCTTGAACAAATGGTATATTACCAACAGTTTCAACTTATCTGGAAAAAATAAAAAAAATGTAACAGCAGACCAAAGAGAAAATAGTAAACATAGGTTATGTACGGAGGTTGGACAACAAACGTACCCCACTCGCTTGGCATTAAATGGCGACCAGTCCTCCTCGCCAATACGTTCAGAAGCACATAGTACTTCACCAATTTTGTGCCACGAAGGGGGTTTGACATGGCTTCAATCGACAACAACGGTAAAAGATATATGATTTGCAGACCGACCGAGTGGACATCGACAACAAAACACGGACAACTGCTACTGCTACAGCACCGCCGCCGCACCGACCACCGACCCCGAACGGCTCGCTGCATCGTCCGCTAGATGGCAGCACCCGAGCGCCGCAACATCGCCAACCCAAGTGCCGCAGATTGCATTTCCCCTACTGGACTGCTTATTTCACGCGAAATGCATTAATAAGATGTAGAATAATATTTATTGGTCACACAACATCCCACATGTCAACCACAACCCGAGTTTTACGCGTAAATACACGAAATCCCAAAATGATGGGTGATGGGTGATGGGTGATGGGCGCCTAGCGCGCTCCATTGGAGTTCCACCTTAAGTATGGTCGAGGATAAGGACCCTTACATAATCTTTCACGTTTTGCTTCATGGCTCCAGTCTGGACGAACAAGAACTTTAGTTCGTCGTCATCATCAGATCTTCCAATCAGAACTGTGGCATCTGGATCCACTGTAAAAAAAAATTGTCACTTAACAACAAATTTGTAAAGTTTTTAACTGACTCTTGCTGTTGTACAACAGCCTCGTTCGTCAAATAACAGCAAAAGTTGTTCAGTAACAGTAATAAAAAAGCCATCAAATACAAAATGGTGCCTGATAGTCCAATATCAACAATGCATTGACAACAAACGTAGTTGTTTTTCAACAACTTCTGTTGTTCTCGAACAACTGAGCTGTTGGTCAACAACTGAGCTGTTGGTCAACAACTGAGCTGTTTTTAAACAACTAATTTTTACAGTGTCGTCCTCAAGAAGTTTCTCCAATGCAAGAAAAAGCCTCTGTTCGTCCGAGAGACCACCTGTCTTTTCCTTGTTCCACTTCGCACTGTGATGATAAGAGAAACGTGATGAACAAATGCTTTGGTAAAGATACCCATGCTAAAATAACCTTGATGTACCATGGTTATCATTCTTCCTTTACCATGGTGATTCCCCGATGATTATGGTTTTTCAGCTTTCAACCATGACAGCTCGTTGGTCGAGGCGTGTTTGAAGTGATGAATGAATGTCGAAAACACTTTCAAGGCACACTGTACGGAGATAACGTCGAAAAGCCTAGGAGGTGCTCATTCGATTTCTCGTCTAAAAATAAGGTAGTCGGGTTAGTCGACCCGAGTCCCTCCTGCCCGCCTGACCACATTGTGGCCATGCAATGCCGGTCCCTCCAGCCGGTCTGATCACATTGT